ATTACCTTTTCCTCTTTTAGTACATCCAAGGGTTTCAGTTGTAGTACACCTCTTTCTGCAATAAGAAGCTGTCTGTAAATAGTTACATCGTGTTTTTGTACTATATTCATATTTTCTATTGCATGTCTGGGAATAGCCCACATGGGTATCTTATTGTTTAATTTGTATTGATATTTTTTCCAAACCCGCAGTAGAGCATTCTTTAAAATATGACTTTTAAAATTCTTATCCACCTTTTTGTTGTATAGCAAATAAGCATGCCAACCATATACCAAATCATACCCTTCAATATTAAGTATTCTATCATCTGTTAAATTAATCCAGTCACTTAGTGTCTTTTTCAAAGGCACCAACCGCAGTTTGAGCAAGATGGCTATTCCTTTGCCTATTAGAGCTCTAAACCTGCCTAAGTAAACCTGCCTGAGACCACTGTCTTGTTGTCTCCTTGTGAGGGACAACTGTCTGTACCACTTGTGGGCAATCTCAAGTCTTTTAAGATATATAAGATACAAAGATATAAACTTTATTGTCATTGTACGTATATGCACAGTATACACATACAACGAAATTCACATAACATCCAGAGACCGGGCTCAACACACATGGCAATCCCCAAGCACACCCCCACCCACCAAAAAATTCCCCACCCCTAAACCACCCAAGCATCCACACGACAGACCAAGTAGTACTCTCCAACAGTTCACTGATGGTGGCCCTTTAGTTCATTGTTGAGTACAATTATAGCTCTGGATTCCTTGTCCAAAGAGGAATTATCAAATAGCCAGTCTACTTACCAGCTCTTCATTCTGCCAAAGCTGCTAGTGCCTCTCCTATGAAACCTATAACACAATGATGTAATTACTGTGGCCCTCATATGTTGCTGAACTATAACTCTCAAGATCCCTAACCATTGCCGTTCTTGGAATTATTTAGAGTGGTAAATTAATTTAGAAAGACATAAATTATCTTACTTTGGTTGTAAAATGCAGCTACTGATGGTTAACCAACCTATGGTTTATGAATTTTCAGGATTTAGATGACCATCTTAATCATAAATTAACATCAGGAGCTATGTTAATAAACAAGTAGGTTAAAATGTGGTAAAGGTGATTTATGGTTCAGTGTGAGGTAAACACAACTATATACTTCAAAGAGTCATTTGAACAAATTGTCAACCACAGTAATAAGTATCTTTTTTGCTTTCAAATCAGTTGGTTGGGACTGTTAGGGGAAAAACTCCAATAGCCTGCAATAGAAGAGCTTTGTAAGTTTGGTATATTGACAATAAATGTCTTCTCCTGAATCTTCCTCACTTTTTATTTTAATTCCTAGATATCTGCTCCTCAAGAGAGATTATATTCTACATGGATTGGGTATGTACAACATCTCCTGCAGCAGAAAATGTAGTTTCACTTGCCTGACATGGATCCACACATTTTATTAAAATAGAAAGGGACTCTTTTAAAGCTAACAAGACTTTGAACTAGAGTCTTGTACTGTATATGGTATACAATAAATTACTGTGGTTAAATAATTGCTCTTTGGGGAAGTTTAAAACAAACTTTTTAATGTGGAGTGGTTAAGGTGTTGGAAGATCCAGGTTCCAATCCTTCTTTGACATAGAAGTCAGCTAGTTCACTTTGGCCAGTCAAATAGATAGAAATAAATAGACAGACAGACAGACGGAGAGAGAGAGGGGGAGGGGGAGAGAGAGAGAGAGGGAGGGGGAGAGAGAGGGGGGGGAGATGATAGGTAGGTAAATAGAAAGAGATGATAGATAGATATAGATAGCAGTGGTGGGTTCCAAATCCCGTCGTAATCGGTATGCTGCGATGGAGCTGGGCATCCACCTCGGGTATGCGTGTGTGCACGCATGCGCACCCACTGCCTAGCGATGCTCCAGCTGCTTGGCAGAGGTTGCGCAGGCGCCGTGCACTGCGCATGCAGGCACAAATAGCCCGATTGGCTTAAATACAGGTAAGGAACGAGGGCGGGTGGG